GCCACTGCGCGTCCGTCGTAACGTGAGCCGCCGTTCGCATTCATGGCCCGCCGTGCGAGACCCGCGAAGCGCTGTGCGTAGGGTCTGGGCATTTGGGTTTGTGGTCGGGGAGAAAATCCCTTGAATTTCTGAAGAGGGCTACAAACAGCTAAAAAAATGATGCTACGAAAAGAAATGGCTTAACACGTACTGAATTAGCGCAAATTCATTCATTTTGATGCGACGAACGCGTTGTAGCGAGACCCGTCTCCGAGGTGTCCGAGCTCTTCGTGAACGATACCTATTCGAGTCCGACACATCCCAGCATTCCCATGCGCACAACAGGATTTCAGTGCCACTTTTTCCTCTAGGTCAGGGTTTCTTACTGTGGTCTTCGTTTCCAGAATGCCACGGAACCCCTACTTTTTTTAGCATGAATACAATCGAAAGCGGAAGGAGAGAAAGGTGTTGCTTATGACTTCTTTCTACGCGCGCAACCGCAGTATTAATATTGCCTGCGTTGGACTTTTATGTCTGATATCGAAGACCATTATCGTTGATGTAGAACTTACGATAAGACACAAACGTGCGTCACAAAACTTTCTATTACCCCAGACCCCACCCCGTGAGTCACGTAAAAGCGCCCGCCGACCTCCCACTGCGTGTTTCAGGCACTGCGAAGTGTAAGCAATGTGTTCACGCAAACGCAGACACCTGGTATGCAGATGCGGTGTGCGGTGGCATCGTTAAGTGTGAAATGCAATGCAAATAAGGCTGCATAGCAGTTATATTACCTGCCAGTGTTGGTCAAACGAAAGCGGGTTGCATTCGGAACGACCGCTAGCGGAACTCCAACATGTCCGTCGAGGAACCCTTGGGTACCGCAAAACCCAATTCGAAAAGCCATGTTCTAGGTAATTCTAAGAAACTCTGCGATAAATCCGACACCGTGTTTTAATAGATTGTCTTTATCTAAAGATCGGGGCGGGGCTTCTACCGGAGCTTATGAATTTTTTGAAAACTAATTACGCGGTTACAGGAGCTTGCTTTTGGTAATGGCCTAATTCTGCGAAATTTGGATTTCAATTTTGCATTGTTCTCAATAATCCAATATCCTAAATAAAATGATGTCTGTACACGAGAAAATTAGAACACACGAAGAATATTTTAGTTCTGTTGAAGCTTTCAACACGCAACGATATATACAAATAAACCCACAAATACTTGTATACAAAGCACCTACGTGCTTATCACAACAATTAAGAACTGTGGTAATAGACGCAAAATAATTTACGAGGTGCCCATATTGATGTCGTCTGCCACGCTCCAGTACCACAAGAAGACCGCAAACAGTGGAATATAATTGATACCTTTTTTTTTCACAGGAACGAAGAAAAAATGTGTTATAGAATTGTATATAAACCAAATATGTATACGTTATAAGCGGGAGGACACTATGCGTACTCCGTGAGCAACTCACTTTCTTCGAGCAATACTGAATTAAGTTGTCAGTTTGGGTGCGCTGCACATTTTTACAACGTCTAGGAATGAATTCCTCAGACAATAAAAAAAAAACAGAAAGCTGGTACCTGTTTCGAAGACTACCCGTAGGATTTCTAGATATCTCATTCAGGATCCTTTTTCGCGGTCGCCTTATCAAGTTTTGGGGGAAAATGCGATCCTATTAACTGCATAAAAATCCACTACTTATAAGGCACGTATACACTCTTAAAAAAAGTTAGTAAAAAGGTAGCAACTGCAAACGAAAAGGTAGTAACTGCTGCAGTTGACTACCTTTCTTTGACCGTTACTACCCTTTTGCCACCTGTTTACTACCTACGTTAGTAAACAATTACTAGCTGCTACCGTTACTAACACTTTGCGACCTGTTTACTACCTACGTTAGTAAGCAGTTAGTAACTGAAATGAAAGAGGTAGTAACCGCAGCCGTTACGACCTTTCTTGCCCGTCGCTACCTCTTTGCTACCCGGCTTTTGACTATCTAATCTAAAATAGTGTGTGAATGCGATTCTGATCATTTATGAGAAGAATCGTCTCAACGTATTATCATAAAACGAAAAAATGACGCAGAAGGTATACATAGATCAAGAAAATACATTTCGTTCTAAATTACTCAACCGAGATATGTAAACTTCATTCTGATACTGTCTAAACGGGGAAGTACAAGTTAACGAACCATAATCAAGTGCTTCACACGCCGTAATAGACAATTACAACAAGCTTAGTAAATAACAGCAAACATTACCAAGACCGACAAATCGAAATAACCAGATGGTCACAATTAGCCTCGAGGACAGTCACAGTTATTCCACTGCGGCGTGTCTCCAAATATCATCATTGTTTTGGCGCGTCAAACCCCCAAAACGATTGTCACCTTTTAAAGCTGATATATTAGTCGTGTGAAGCATTCAGATGCACTGAGAACTAGTTCGGTACCTTGTTCCGGCCACTTTAGATAATGCCTTTTTGTGGCTATTTTATAATAGATAAATATAACATATAATGTTTTATAAGTAAGGCTTAATAAAGGTTTTGTGCTACGCCCCCAAACTCACGTAACCAAGTAGTAAAATATAGTGCTTTAGGTTCATATTTCTTATAATTCCTCCTGAAACGCAAGTGCGCCTTTGTGCCAGACATGCCCCTGCGAAGTAGGGGCTATATATAACCCACGCTTACTTCTTACTCCATGTATACGTGAAAAATAGTGAACCTGTTTGGTCTTTATTCATGGCACACCACACTTCTCACCCGACTTTGTCTAGTAATAAGGCATTCATTAGGCAACATTAGCAGTGCAGAAATATGCCCAAAGTAATGAACTAGCTAGCATCGGTTAATACTTTTTTGACACCTCTAAAAGTTACTACCCATAAGTGGTAACGGCTAGGGTAGTAACAGTTACTAAATGCTGGTAGTAACAGCAAGGGTAGTAACTGTTACCACCCTCACCGTTACTAACTGCGCTTACTACGAGGGCTGTAACATATGTGACAAACCATTACCACCCCAAAGTTAGCAAGTACTACTACCTTTTTTCTAAGAGTGTAGGTTGCAATTAAAAGAAAAACGGATTAGGCTGAATAACAAAGTATTATGCCGAACTTTCTCAACGAGATTCCACTGTAGTCCGCCGCGGTGCTTTGCTGCTGACCCGAAGGTCTCGGCCTCGGCGATCGCGTTTTGATGAAGGTGAAATGGTAGAGGCCTGTGTACTGTGCGATGTCAGTGCGCGTTAAAGAACACCAGACGGTAGGAATTTCCGTTGTCCTCCACCGCAGGTCGGCGAAAATTGTGGAGCTCACTCCCACTCACCCATGAAGTATGTTTTGCATGGAGAGCTCACTTGCACTCACCAAAGTTTTCCTGAGCTAGACTCACTCGGGCTCAAACTCACCACAATATTACTCACTAAGACTCAGGCTTGATAAGAGTCTGAGTGAATCCAAATGAGTCGACTTATGAGTGGGTTCACCGACCTTTGCCTTCTACTAAGGGGTCTCTCATAATCGTATCTTATGGGTTTAGGACGTAGAACAGCAGATATTATTGTTATGAGATTCCACTGCATCAAGATGTCGTCCCGCGCTCCCGGGGACCCCTCGTCTCTCACTCCATGCTTGATAAGCCCTTTGTTTAACGTGCTGTGGCTGCAGTTTACCAGATACCGCTGACGTGAGGTAAAGTTTTTATCTGCCAAACCGGTCGGTGTATGTATCAGTGACTGCTTAGAACACGCCGTTTCATTGATGAATAGGGCAGGGTCATATGCACCGTTAAAATCAGAGTTTATCGAATAAAACCAAATTGACAGAAATTGTGCCGGTGAGTGTTTATTCTATTTTCACGGGTTTAGCCATGAACACCGCGCCCTAACTATAATCTAATAATAATAATATCTATAGGTTAACGTCCGAAAACCACGATATCAGCATGACAGACGCCGTAGTGAAGGTCTCCAGAAATTTTGACCATCTGGTGTTGTTTAACGTGCACTGTAATTATGACTTAAATGGAAAGGAGAACAAGCCCCCAGCCTACCCGTCGGTGGGGAGCGAACCCAAAGCCTTTGGGTTACGAAACATCCCGCCAAACTTCATGACTTAGGTAGCATAGCAGGTTTTATCAGTCAAGTGGAACTTCGTGCGGATATCACGTTCCCCGTGAAGCTCTCAGGAAAAAAGACTGTTCTACACTCACCGCCCTGGCAACGAGTGGCACCGGACAAACCTTCCCAGGAATTAAATGCATGTAAATACCCAATAAAATGGACCATTCGTCCTAGCTTATTGGTAAAGCATAGGACACATCAGTCAAAGGTTGTGGGTTGAGATTCAACCAATGAACAGGGTACTTGTTCGTCCACTTTAAGTCATTAAAATTGAAGCCGTTATCAATACACTTCAATAAGAACGAACAGTTAATGTCACTTGTGCTTTTAAATTGACCATTTGTTTCATTCGTTCACAGTGTGGAATGGCTCCTCAAGTTTTTTTGTTCTTTCGAAATAGAGACAATGTAACGAAATATTGAACAGTGCCCTGCCTTAGCAAATCTAAGATCAATTCTGGCCTTAAAGATACAATGATAGCATTCATTATTTTGTTTATTTTCAAAAAATTAATCACATCACCTGCGCTCATATTTAACATTTGCCATGATCTTCCAAGTCTATAACATTTGTTGTATCAGCGATCATCGGGGCTTTTAACAGGTAACGCTTCAATTCCAGATATCTTCCTTGTTATCGATTTGCCCGATAGCTTACCCTAGAGACTGGGCTCTTGAAGGCAAGTGTGTATTGACTGTCAAGGTACTACCGATAGGGTTATCTATTTTTCTAGTGTACCCACGTGTTAAGTGGCGGGTGCGATAATCTCAGCTTTAAAGTGTTTACAAAAGCTCGTCTGCTATCGCAGACACGCATTGTTTATTTTTCCTCTGCCTTGATAATCACGCTCGCCTTGCAGACACTCGTTGGAGCGTAGCAAAGAGGAGCGAGTGAAAAGGAAAATTTCTGTATATTTGGGGCTACTGGTAGGAACAATCGACTTTGCGGTGCCGCCCTCGACCTTGCCGTGAAGGATGGACTAGCCTCCGCGATGAAGGACGCTTTCAGCGACTGAAGACTGTCATTTTGTGAAAAATTGGACTGACCCTCTTGTTCATCTTGGCGCGGAAAATAACACGCTTCGCCTCGAGCTGAGCCACTCTGCCGCGACGGATTGCAGATATTTGCGCAACCTCCAAGAACCACTTCTCTCTGTAAGTGGGCGCACGCGGCCACTTTCCTCAATGCAAGCCGACCAGCTAGAGGAGTCTTTTCGCAGGCCACACGAAGGCATGGACGGCGGCGTAAGCAACGCAGCGATTATCGAAGACCGGGTAGTGAGGTCCTCGGTTCCGGACCAGCCTCTGCCGGAAGCTGACTACGCGACTTACCTGAGGTCTGTCTGGGGCCAATTTACACATCACACGGCGCTG